GGCAGCCAGGCACATCCATGCGAGGTGTCTTAGGGGACGCCAAGGCCAAGTGCCACTCCCAATCGTGCTGCCGCAGAATTAGAGCATACGGTGGTCAGAGGAACAAATAGGGGGAAAACCATAACTTCTACGCAAGTTCATCAAGCTGAGGACCACCAGAGTCATCTTATATGGCTGGGCTAGAAGATGCTTATATGGATGACCCTCCAGACATTGTCCATGTCCCTCCAGATTTGAATATACAACCGGAATTGGCCTTGAATGATAATGAGGATAGTGTGTTCGAGGAGAATCCAGTGGCTGTTAGCCACATGCGCTCTTAAGCGCCCCGGCTTGTCCTAATCTCTTTTAGATGTTATTTATTGTTTGGAATTGTCAGGGGGGCGGCTTCGAATTCATTTAAGCGCACCCTGAAACAATCTTGTCGGGAATTTAACCCTTCTTTGCTTTGTTTGCTAGAACCCAAAGTCTCGGGAAATCAAGCTAACAAGATTTGCAATAGTCTTGGCTTTGAAGAATGGATACGAGTTGAAGCAGTGGGATTTTCGGGAGGAATTTGGATACTTTGGAAAGAAGCCCTAAAAATTCAGGTTATTGAAACTAACCCTCAGTTTATCTCTGTACAGGTAATGGACTGTGAACTAGGACCATGGTTGTTATCACTGGTCTACGGTAGTCCCCTGCCACAACTTGAGAAAGAAGTTATTTGCCGGTTTATCCATACAAAGACACAACCCACAGATGCCTTGGCTTATAGCGGGTGATTTTAACGCAGTAACAAGCCATGAAGAAGTGAGCAATCCAGGAATTTTTCGATGGCAAGATGCATTGATTTCCAACGACTGGATATACAGAGAAGGTCTAGTTGATTTGGGGTATGAAGGCGCCAAATTTACATGGATGAGAGGAGTGGATTCATCAACATTCAAAGGGGCTCGTTTGATAGAGCACTAGCAATTTACAATGGAAACTCTGCTGCCCGAATGTGACCGTAACACATCTCCCAATGTTGAACTCAGACCATTGCCCTCTACTGATAGATACCAAGGAGACTCGATCTAATCTAAGGAAAAAAACCTTTAGATTCAACATGGCCTGGACCACTCATGTCACTTTCCAAGCTCTAATTCATGAAGGATGGAACAAAGAATCTGACTTATCAACAAACTTGAAGGTTGCGGCAGGGGCCACTTACTAAGTGGAATGTTAACACGTTTTGGTAACATCTTTCACAGGAAAAAGCGCCTACTGGCCAGGCTTAAAGGTATCCAAAATAGCCTAGCATACGGTCCTAGAACAGATGCACTAAAATTAGAGAGAAAATTACGCAGTGAATTGGAGGAAACTCTATACCAAGAGGAACTATTATGGTTCCAACGATCAAAGGAAGATTGGATAGTTTCAGGCGACCGCAATACAAGATTTTATCATGCAGCAACGTCGATTAAAACCAAGGCCCCAAGATTAAAGGTTTAAGAGATGACAATGGCAGCTATACTCGATACCACTCAGGTTAGCGAGCTTGTTAAGAACTATTTCATAAAACTTTTTGAAGTTGACAGTGGACATCCCTGGTTCCCTAGCACAAGAAAATTTCCCTAAGATTTTGGACTCAGAATGGGCTGAGATCAACAAGGTATTCACAATGGAGGAAGTTAAGAAGGCCTTATTCGATATGTCAACCTTGCAAATCACCAGGTCCGGATGGCTTTACAGCGGGTTTCTACCAAAAAACATGGAATACCGTAGACACAGCCTAACTAAGTTTGCCTTGGACTTCTTCGAAGAAGGAAGATGTATCAAGGATGCAATGACACTTTGATATCTTTGATACCTAAAGTAGATAGCCCGGATTCAGTCAGCAATTTAGACCTATTGCCTTTGCAATGTAGCCTATAAACTAGTAACAAAAATGATGGTGAACAGATTACAGGATGTGCTAAGTAAGCTGATAGGGCCGTTTCAAGCCAGCTTCATCCCGGGAAGACAAATCTCGGACAACATCTTAGTCTTTCAAGAAGTTCTAAACTCAATGAAAACCAAAAAGGAGGCAAAGTAGGATGGATGGTGTTGAAAATAGATCTGTAAAAAGCCTACGATAGGTTATCTTGGAACCTAATCGAAGATACACTGTCAAAGGCCGGATTCAATCATACATGGACTAGAATATAATGCACTGTGTATCTTCGTCAGACTAGCAGTGCTTTGGGAAGGACAACAAATGGAATGGTTCAAACCCGGAAGAGGCATAAGACAGGGAGACCCTCTATCCCCTTTACTCTTTGTTCTCTGTATTGAAAGACTTAGTCACATTATACTTGAATCAGTGAACAAAGGCAAATGGAAAGGAATTAGAACGTCTAAATCGGGTCCTCACATTTCCCATCTTCTATTTGCAGATGATATGACCTTATTTGGTGAGGCCAACATTGGAGCAAGCAGTAGAAATAAGAAGATGCTTAGACTTATTTTGCACTCATTCGGGACAGAAAGTCAACTTCCACAAGTCTTCAAATATTTTTCTCCAAGAATACAAATGAGGAGCTCCAAGACAAAATCGTTGAAACTTTAGGAATCCAAAAAGTCACGGATCTAGGGAAATACCTAGGCATCCAATCCATCCATGGCAGACTGAAACAGAATCATTTGCGGGAATTATAGAGAAGATCCATTCAAGATTAGCCGGATGGAAAGCCAAATCACTAACACTAGCAGGAAGACACGCATTGGTCCAATCAGTTTTGTCCTCAATCCCATTCTACACAATGCAAACAACGTTAATACCTGCCGGTGTGATCAATAACATTGAAAAACCATACGGAAATTTCTTTGGGGAAGCAATCAGGGAGACAACAAAGTCCACCTCATCAAATGGGATACGATCACAAAAAGTAAACAGCAAGGTGGTTTGGGCATCCGTAAATTAGAAGAAATGAATAAGGCCTTCATGGCGAAATTAGGATGGAGAATTCTGCATGGAGAAGACAGCCTATGGATCAAGATTTTCAAGGAAAAATATCAACTGTCGAAGATAGACTGTCGTCTTTGGAAGGCTAAGAGAAATATGTCCAATGCAATGAAAGGTATCCTAAGTGCTGTTCCTGTTCTAATAAAAGGAGTCAAAAGATTTATTGGTAACGGACGCAACACATTCATTCTGGAATGATATATGGATCGAGACTTCCCTCTTTACGAGCCTGCTGTGGAAGCAGTCCCCTCCGCTGACCTTAATCGATCTGTATCTAGCTATTGGAGCCTTCAATCCGACTGGAAATGGAGTGAATTGAATCATCTACTGCCCATAAATATATTGAGCAAACTAGCCCTATATTTTATTCATGAGGAGATGGAGGAAGAGGACAACATTTCCTGGAAGTTAGAAGCAAATGAAACTTTTCGGTTGCATCTGCTTATAATATAGCCATCGGGAACCAGCACCACTAGAGGCCGCCAAATGGAATAGCATATGGAAATTAAAAATTCCTTGCCGCATTCGCACCTTCCTCTGGCTCGTGAAGCATGAAAGAATCATGTGTAACAGTAACAGAGCTAAGAAAGTTTTACAGATTGTGATAAGTGCAGCTTTTGCAATAATCAGGTAGAAGATACTGAGCATGTGCTCAGAACCTGTCCGCTAGCAACAGAAGTGTGGGAAGCATACTCCGACCCTTCCACGATAAATCAAGAAACTTTTCGCTACAAAGATGGCTGGAAGAAGGAATTAAAGACAGTAACAAGGTCAATGTACCAGATAACTCCAGCATCACATTCGCTACAACTCTATGGTGGATTTGGAAATGGAGAAATGAAAGAGTTTTTAATGGCACAACAAAACCGCTCCAGTTCAAGGTTCCTTGGATTAAGACACAAGTCAAGGAGGTGTCATTGGCTTTCGATAGAGCAATGGGACAGCACTCAGCAGGAAATTCAAACAATTGGATGATGTTCATATGGGAAAAACCAAGGAAGAATTTGTCAAAATCAATGTAGATGGATCGGTTAAAACCGCAAACAAATGACGCATCTTGTGGAGGTATCATCCGTGACTGCAATGGAGTTTGGAAGCAGGGATTCGTATTCAACATGGGTAACTCTACCCATTTGAAGCAGAGGCATGGGCACTCCTCAAAGGAATACAACTAGCAGCTCATACAGGTTACAAAAAGGTGATACTCGAATCAGACTCTACCATGGTGGTCAATTACATGCTTAATAAAAGAAGACCATCAACAGTTGCACATATATTCTTGAAGGGTGCCAGAAAGGAGTTAAAGGTATTTGATGCATGGAAACTTTCAGCCATACCTCGAGAACAAAATAATGCAGCCGACAGTTTAGCCAAAATTGCTAGGAATTTCCCAAAGGGCATCCATATCTTAGATAGCCCTCCTGAGGTGATGAAGAGTATATTAGAGGATGATATTGAGGGACGGCCTGTTTGGCGTCACATTTGTAACACAAACTAACTAGTCTTGTACCTTTCCTTTTCCGTTTGGGGTATCCCCCTACCATGATAAATAAAAAAAAAATTAATCATATCGCAAATTATTTCACTTTATAAAAACTAGTTCTAGTAGTTCGATCTGCTACAAAATTCACGCAACGCTGTAAAACAAATTATTTGTGGCAAACAAATTATATCAAAATTCTTATCGGTAGAATACAACAGGGACCACATAAATCCCTATGTAGCATCGAAACCACACACATCCTTATTGAATCCCGAAATATTAGCATTTTATATCCTATATATACACATGACAAAAGAGAGATCAGAGGTAAGAAAATAGTAAATAATAATAAATTTCTTCAATCCGGCCTTCAAAACTATATTGTTGTCAATGCAAGTTTTGAAGGTCTGAAATAATGGGCAATCCACTCATCCTCCTCATCATCTCAATCCTTTTCCTCTCATCACAAACCATCTCCTTAGCCAGTGAGAGTGAGGGAACCAAATTTACCTATATTAGTGGAGCTGAGAATGGCCAGGGAAATGGGAAAACTTCACACAAATTATACAGTCTGCAATGCTGGTAACATGCAGTCTCCCATTAATATTGATGACTCCACTGTTAAGGTTACCTCCAAATTTGGGAGTTGATTCGACGTTACAAATCGTCTGAGGCTATAATCATCAACAAAGGCCATGCTCTTCAGGTAATTAATTAGTTCCAAATAGTTTTAGTTTTGTTGGATTTAGATCGATTTGTAACTGATAGAGATATCGAAAACTACTCAAATGGAGATTTGGAATCCAATAGCCCAGGATCTCTGTCCAAGAAGATGACTTGGACCAAGATAATGATTCGGATCGGGATAGGTGACCCAGACCCAAGATTGGGAACCTAGCTAGGGTTGGCCTTCGAAGTCCATTGTCTTGTCTAGCTAATATTCTTACATTAATCCACCCAATATTATTACAATTCATTTACATACTATTTTACACTTATAATTTATGACTTAGTTTATCTACATATATCCCGGGTCAATTATATAATAAATTGTTGCATGCATGCAGATCCAGTGGACAGGTGATGCCGGAAAGATTATCATTAACGGTACCGATTACTTCATGTTACAATGCCACTGGCATACTCCCTCTGAGAACACTGTGAACGGCAAAAAGGTTGATATGGAGATTCATCTGGTTCATAGGAGTGCAAAAGATGAATTTGCTGCTGTCTCCATCTTATACAAAATAGGAAAACCTGATATAAGTTCCTTGGACAAGTAAGTACCATTCAATTATATATATATATATATATATATATATATATATATATATATATATATACAATATAATTGAATTGATCTTATATACATTAATTAATTTCTTGGTTCCACTCCAGTTGCTGAACAGCATCAGGCAAGTTGATCGCAATGGTAAAGCTTTAGGCGCCCTTAATCCAGGAAAGATCACATATGAGGGCAAGAAATATTACAGATTCATTGGTTCCCTCACTACCCCACCATGCTCACAGGTGTCATCTGGACAGTAACCAAAGAGGTCTGTATCCTAACCTTAACCTCCCCAACACCCAACCAGATGACTAAGGATATAACCACAAGGTCACGAGTTTGAATCTCAACCTTCTTTGTTTGAGCCGGTTAACTATGAGCAATCTAGGCTGGTCTACCTAGTTATTGCCAACTTAGGGCAGGTTTACCTTGCTATATATCGGCAACCTAGCTATAGGTTGGTTTACCTAGCTATTGGCAACCTAGTTGAGTTGGTTTACCTAGCTATATATGGCAATCTTGTTGGTTGGTTTATTTAGCTATATATGGGCAATTTAGCTGGGTTGGTTTACCTAGCCATGGGCATGGCTACCTAGCTGGGCTAGTTTACCTAGCTATTGGCAACCTACCTAGCTGGGCTGGTTTACCCAACTATTGACAACCTAGCTGGTTTACCTAGCTATATATGGCAACCTAGTTGGGCTGGTTTACCTAGCTATATATGGACAACCTTGCTGGGCTGGTTACCTAGCTATGGGCAACCTAGGTTGGTTCTTTGACCGACAAGGATCATAAAGCGGATATATGCACACCATCAAATAGTGACTGCGGAGTTTTTTCATATTCCAAGAAAATTAAATATGCATGTATCTCTTTCTCTCATTCACACAGTAATGATAAATTGTTGGATTTTGTAGGTAAAGACAGTATCACAGAACAGATAAACTTATTAAAGGAAGCTGTTGATGATGTAAGTACTGAATTATGCATCTATCTAGATAGATTTAATATGTGACACATATATACATAGAATGGTACAAATATTTGATGTTTTGAATTTGTTGTTTAGGGTTATGAGGAAAATGCAAGGCCACTGCAACCACTGAATGGAAGGACAGTATATCTCAATCAACCATAGGAACGTTGTTGCCGGTGCTGTTTAGGAAGTATATGTATTGAGGGAGCTGAGTGATTGCCCACCATTAAACTGAATATACAAATCATTTTCAAACATAATAATTTCAATACATTATGTTTAATAATTATATATTTGTATATGATTCATGATAATGTAATTAAATTTTTGGTCAATCTTTAATTGAAATAGCATACATTGCTTACTTTTTATCAATGAGTCCTACTTTTAAATGATCATTTCGTATAGGCCTGTTTGGTAAAAAATTGGCCTATAGGTCAATTTTGACTTATATGACCACTATTAATTGTTTGTTTTAGTTAAAATATCAATATAAATATTTGGTTAATTAGCTTTTTGCAACTCCATAAGGCTAAAATTTAAAAAGTTACTACAAGCAACTTTTCCAATTAGCTTTTTGAGAAAGAAATTATACCAAACAACTATCAGCTAACAAGCCAATGTTACCTCTAATTAACACAATCATCTTACCAAACAGTGCCATTGTCATTTTTAAACATAATAATTACATACGTTAGCTTTCAAAAAATATATATATATATATTACATACGTTATGTTTATAATTATATATTTGTATGATTCATGAATAGTCTCGTTATAAAGAATTGAATCAATATAATATACATTTATATATATAGTATGTTGGAAAAGAGCTTAGTTTGTTACATGTGAAATTAAAGGTTGAATTTTTATATTATACAAATCAATATATAAATATTATAATATAAAAATATATTTCAAAAAATAAGCGGATTAGCCATTTTTATAAGATTCCAAGTTGGAAAGCACTTATACCTCCAATTTGTATACATTGTAATAGTCAAACAAAAATTGAGAGGTACAACGAACATATATATATTGTGACAAATGAAAATCACAGAACCGACTAGAAATGAATACAAATATTACGAGATTAGGAATAAATACAAGCTGACCTCAAAGTATTTGATGAAGATAATACCCAAGAGCTAGGAACTGTCGTGAAAAAGGAAGAAGAAAAATTGAATTTTCTTTTCTTTTGATGCCTCTGCCGAAGAGATAAGAAAAATAAGATTTTTCTTCCTTCTCTATCAAAACTGTCGAAATGGAATTATGTGGAAGCTTGTGAAAGATGTGGAATTCTCTCTCATTAAGAATGAGCATTGCATCCCCTTTTTATAGATAGGTTCTGCCGACATAGAAAGGAAATATGGGAAAGAAGTGAAGGAAATTATCTTCAAACCTCATCCCATCAACTTTTGCTCCAACTTCCACCCAAATTCCTTCTCTCCAACTTTCTGCTCCAACTTCTACCCATATCCCATTCTCCAAATAATT